AGGAAGCCGCATACATGTTGTCCAACAACGTATTCAGCCAAGCCAGCGTAGAAATACGCAACATATGGAAACCCATCATCAAGCGAAAAATGGCCAACTCCCGCCAAAACAGTCATCTCACACGGAACCAGTGAAGCGGAAAATGGAAAGCGGGGATAGGTGAAAGTACTCGAACGACCTATAAATAGTCATCTCTCGGAGGAATCAGTCCAGTCATCACCTGAAGACGATTGTAGATACTAACAATCGAAACGTCGTGAACTAACGTGAATCTCTTCACTTTTTTATTTTTATTTTCTTTCTTTTTTCATTTCTTTATTTTTATTTATTCAATTGTTCTAGTTTTACTTGTATTTTATTTCACTATTATTTCATTTCAGGTTTATTTTGGTTAATATAATTCTTATTTTCAGCTATTAATTATTAATTGTTTCAGGGATTTCAAATCATTTTATATAGTAGACAATGGAAGTCCGAACTAGTGAAATTCATCATTAAACATTGTCAATCACCTTCAAACAGAAAGTATATTGCCAATTATCGTTTTCTGCCAGATTACGATGAAACTGAAGTATCATCATTCATCACTTATATGGACGTTACCAACCTCTGACGTTACAGTATGTCCCAACCAATCAAGGCAGGGTGTAGCGAATTTGTTACCAGAAATTGATGTAATTCCATCTCTCATACCATTTTGTGCCGGATCACCAGCACAAGGTAGTTTAGCTAGCGCTTCAGCTGGCACAACCAAAGCAGTTTAAGCAGCAAGGGCGAGTAAGCAGCAACTGGGCGAGACTAGCTTTGAGGCTATATCTGAAGGCTCAAAATACAAAAAACTACTACAATCACTACTTCAAAGAACCCCTTTCTGAAGTCGACCTCAAGTATCATGTCAAGAAAATGGCGATTTCGTATTCTTGTGGAGTATTCATTCATGCGTGACGATCTGTGCCTGAAGCTTCTCCAGAATAAGACATGGAAACAACACCAATACAGGACAGGGAACCATCAGGGGAATGAGTTATTAATTGGCCTCATATTTCAAAGTACGCACTTTACGAAAAGAACATCTCGACGATATGCCGAAAGATGTGTTAATTGGGTGTGCATCACATGAAATGATATCTGTATGGGATATGCTACCAAAAAACCTACAGAATGATATCGATGTCATAAAGTAGTAGTACCGTCAGGTTCATTACACTGATTCCAGCAGCCGTAATTCCGATGTGAATGATGGTCCACCTACGAAAAATTTTCTGTTGTTATCGTGAAATGAATGATGTGAATTCAGTCACACATAATGAGATGAATGAATTGAATAGACCACCCAGAAGGCGACGATTACTCCACAATTTCTGTTGCCAGCTATTAAAGGACGTAAATCAGTCATGTCACGGACGTTTTCATTGTCATGATACTTTAGCGGGTTGCGCGCCAACTTACACCCACCTATCGAATTGAATACTTACCAGCAGTAATTATGGTCTAGGTTTACATGGTTTCTACTCCTACAACTCCATATTCAATAAGGATGTGATAAAAAACGTTATCGATTATTCCAAAACAGATAACCCACTCCTCACCATTATAAAAATTCAACCGTGGCATATGAAATTGATGAAATCAATGAGGTGATAATGAAATTCATTAAACATGAAGAAATTCAATCGTAAAATGGGGTTGAGGAGAATATTAACGAAGTATTTCTCGTACATGCAAACAACAATACTCTGAAATGTGAAATGTAGTCGAAATATTACATCCATCTCAACTATGAAAACACCATTCCTGAACATTTGGGGTTTTAAGCCAATGTGTTCAGCACCGGTGAAACTAATGAATCAACATTGCTCGTTAATATCATTGAGGTCAGAATTATTTGTGTGGATTGCGATGTCACCGCCAGGGCATGAATGGGCAGGGCAGGGTAATGAAATTCACAGCATCTTCGAATTCGATATCGATGTGGAGCCCGGATACAAACCCACCAAGGAACTGCAAAATATTATTTATATGCCGAACCAACCTGGCGGTAGTCAGTACCTTGACATCACTCTACGCATATTGAATGATAATGGTAATCTGATAAATTTCAACGGTAAGAAGATAATAGTAAAACTGAAATTGATGAAGCTATAACGCTTATCATTTCTGAATTTGATAATCACAGAATAAATAGGAAAATTTAAAAATCGATTCATTCCACGCGCTAGTAGCCTTAACTCTCAAATCCATTGGTTTAAAGCCGCGAAATGAACAAGAGCTGTGGTATAGCTGCAATCACCACAAGTGATAAACAACTTTCATAATCTTATACTCGATATTGCAGATAGTTACATTAAAATCGAATGAAATTTTACGCCATCTGATGATAACAAGCAGGGTTACTAATCCAATAACGTCCTATCCTTTTTTTAGATGAAATCTGCTATGAAAATGGGTGGCAAGCAAGTGGTTGTTATTTGAAAATATGGCATAACCACCACGATGAAAACTACGGTATCAATTGAACGTACGTAAAATTCATTACTACCGATAGGATGGGGCCTTGATGTGAATAAAAAAGACTTTTTGGATCCCTTCAGTCATGTATTCAGTAGTAAATTACTTTCGAAGTATCTCATGGGTTTTGCTGAAGATTAGAAATGATAATGGCAAGCCTTTATCAACATTGGAAATCGAGAGATTGAGAATTGGTAGAAATCATCAATGATGTTCTTGATTTTCAGAATTTTATACTTACTGTAAGTGTTGAGCTCTACGGAAGCACTCAAAGATTCAGTATTAGCGTAAAAAGCGTGGCATGTATATTTTCCAGCTTGATTTTCCGTCAAACTCGAGAAGATAAGGACTGCTCCTGGTTCTCCAGCTAGCATCTGAAAATAAATAATAATTCCGCCGAATTAAGCAAAAGTTGCCTATTTTAAAATTTAATCAAATTTTGTGAAATTCTGATCAATTCAGGGGATATTCGAAGAAAACCAAAATTTGCATATTTCGTCTTGATTTTCATGTATTTTATAGAAAATAGTATATATTTCTCATTAGTCAGTGGGCTGTGCTTGAAGACAGGCAGTTAACAAATCTAAAGAAATGAAGTTTAAATGTTCAAGCCCGTCTCGAATATACCTACACAGTAGGTTGAATGGACTGACGTCTATCAGAAAACAACTACTCCAGTGTAGGAATCTTCACAGAAACCGGTATGCAAGTGTGCCCGTTCCAAAATTGAAGGTCGACTTTTTCAGTTGTATTGCCAATTGCATATGCAGGAAATTTTCTGTGAAGATTCCTGCACTGACGCCTGCCTGAAATAAATCAAGGCCATTCGTGGTAATAGCCAGTGGAGTAGTTGTTTTCAGATAGGCGTCAGTCTATTCAACATACTGTATAGGTATATTCGAGACGGGCTTGAACATTCAAAGTTCATTTTTTTAGATTTGAAAATAGTATACGTCAATAATGGTAGAATGTGGTGTCAAATGTGCTACAACTGAAATGGATTGGGAATCCTTTTTCTTTATTCGGACTGTTCATTTATTCATCTTTGGTAATTCAATTGAAGCAAATTTTCCATCATCAAGATGACCTAGGACTACGATACGCTTTTACAGCTCTTTGATGAAATATTTTCTGTATATTGTCGACAAGGAACCCAGTATTTTCTGCAGTAGCTTTTGAAGTGTAACTTTCAACTCTCTTGTGCAATTCTGAATATTTCATGTTTCTCAGATTAAATAATCTGCTGCATTTGAATGTCACCAAACTAGTCTATACAGGTCTGTTCTTCAATTTGTTCCATGAATAATGTGGGTATTTGTGGTTTAGCAAAATTGTTCAATCCTGTACATCAATCCTGTCATCTCCTGATGATGCTAACTTGGTTGGGAACGAGAGTCGAGAAACAAAATTTTCGTTCTGGAAAGTGTTTTCAATAGAATCACATTCATAATTAGAGTTTCGGCTTCTGGGTTTGTTTCTTAAGTTATGTCTAATAAAACTGGATACCTATTTAGTGAGATCTTACATTAGCTATTCATAAACCTTGATTCCCAAAATCCACAAATAAAGAAAGTGTAATTATTTCAAACTGACGTCAATACATGATCCACAAAGACTATCCATAGAACATCGGGGTTTCAGTTGAGCATGGTATTTTATAATAAGCTACCTATCTTTGCTAATTATTATTCTGTTCCAGACACGCTTACTGACCCCCTTCTTGGATTCCTCTTGAAATTCATTTTTTTCACCTCAGACTTCCCTAATGTCCTTTAGGACTACTTTGATGACTACCTCAATTTCAGCTCGAACCTTCTGGCAATTATATGATTTTTTCACAGATCTAGATCTGGTCTGAAAAATGTGGAACATTTGGGATATTCGGGAATATACGTGAGATCAATCATAATTATATCAGCGAAATATTTCTGGCAACTCGTAGAGAGGTTAAACGTGTAATCCAGGTTTGTCACAACACTGCTTTAACCAAATTTATAATTGTACTATCACCTTCCGAGATTATATCCTAAATCCACTCCAGACATAATGAAATATCATTTGAATATACAGTGTCACCATTAAAGTGCGCACCATATGGGAAACTTTTTTTTCGAAAAGTTTCAATGAAGTTCAACTTCGGCACTTGTTTGTGCTTAAAATTTCATTGAAACTTTTCGAAAAAAAAGTTTCCCATATGGTGCGCACTTTAATGATGACACTGTATATTGAATATTCAATTATTAGCATTTTCTTTTCGTTGAAAAAAATTATGTGGCTGTCAATTTTTGTTTTGAATCGAACCAGTCAATACAATTTCTATAAGCCAAATAGTATTGATTGACATTTTTGAACGAATTCCGGACATTTCCTACTTCAGTTTTATTTCTTCATCTATATGCATCATAGTCAACCATATTTTTATTTTTATCATTTGTACCCAGCTGTACTCACAAAGATACGGCCATCAATTTCCCTGATTTAATCAACCAATGTGTCATAGTTTTCTCACTTTAAATTCGATTCATGTAAAAATTTGTTATTATGATTTATTTGGCCCTCGTTCCTTCATGAACATGAAACAATTTTCACAATAATTGAATTGTCCATTTTAATTTGTCTCAAACATAAAAAATTCACCATTTTTTATGAGGTTTTTTCTATAAACAGCAAATCAATCTCAATTTTATTTTTTGGTAGAAAGTGATACAGAATTTTTCGAGATTTTTTAATTGGAACAATTGGTGTACACAATACCAGTTCGGAAACACAAAAACAGAAGTATCAATTCTGGCTCACCTGGACATAAACTGAATTTGCCCTATTGGAGCTGTCTATCCTTCTATTCCGAGGGTCTCTCCATTCTAGTTGCGTCACTAGACCAGGATCCTGAACATTCGGCCTACACGTTAGAGCTAAACTTCCACCTACTTCTTTCGTCACTACTTTCTGATTCGGTTGGATTTCCAAACTAGGCTGGTGACCGTATGTTGCTGAAAAAAATGAAAATAAAATTTGAAACAGGGATATTTCATTCCCTTCAAGAAATAAACAAATTAAATCCATATTTCATTTTCATGGTTGATGAAATATGTGAACTTTTACAAGAAATTGAATATATTCTACAAAGTCATCTGGTAATCGATTTTAGGAAATATTTAAATTTCTAAGGAAATGAACTTTAAACGTTCAAGCCAGTCTCGAATATACCTACTGTGCAGGTATATTCGAGACTGGCTTGAACGTTTGAAGTTCATTTCTTTAGATTTGTTTACTGCCAGTTTTCAAGCATAGCCCACTGACTAATAAGAAATATTCAAACTTGTAAATGAGTTATTCCATATTTTTTCTTTAAAAAAACTAGATAGAGAATTGAGAGATTTTTAAATGAGTTATTCCATTATATTTCAAGGAACTTGCTGGTTTCCCTTTTCAGTTTTTGTATGTATGTATTATAAATTCAATTTTATATCTTCATTCCAAACATTACCAATTTATAGCATTTGTATTTGTAATCCATTATTTTCACAATTATTTCGGGTTGCAATAATGTATTTACTTTTCATCTTTTCATTGTTTACCTACAACCTATATACCTACTTTTCACATTTTTTGGATTTCATTTGCAGTTTTAACCAACTCATACGAATATTTCGCTTCAATAAATTTTTTATACTTCATTTATTAATCTTCCTTTAGATTTCCAAACTGCTAACCAGTTTTTATAAAATGGAAATTCAAGTAAATGATCTTATTGTTTCAATCTGCCAATGTTCATTGAACACGAACACTATGAAATGTTGAATCTTTGAAAAATTTACACTACGAATACAAACCAAAACATATCTAACAAAAATCAATTTTTGTAGAGGAAATCAGTTTATCAATGGATCTTTCTGTGAATTATCAATTTTCGTAACTGACGACATATTTCACATTTCGACTCTAGTCGTGGACGTTTGAAATTAGATCGAAGCAAATAAAAACTCTAGTAGCTGATTTTTTAAGTTCTGAGGACGGAAGCAGATTCTGGACTCTAAAACGTTAAAATAAGTATCTGAGCAACTGTTAGCTCTTTTCTTTGATAGGCAAAATTTTGAATATGACACGTTACTGATAAATAGCGTGTTTTTCTTTGGAAAAATACGTAGAATATATGCAGTAACTTATCGGGATGAACTGGAAGTTTGCCCTTTCTACATCTGTATAAGTTGTTCCGTTCCATTACAATTTTCATTACTTCAGATTGTGGAAGGTAAGAATTTCTAGAAAAATCCGCTTTGAAACCAAAATAGGTACCGAAAGTAAGAAACTATATTATAGGCCAGGAATTTGTAACTTTTCAGGACTTAAAAACAATTTTTTTTCAGCTAGCCTGTAAATGTGAGTTAATTTTTTGCTAGAATCTGATATTGTCGGTTCTGCACATGTAATACAATAGGAATTATGTATCATAAAAAGAAAATATGAGAAATGTAGCACAGTAATTATAATGCAGGCTATTATTTCATGGGTGATTTCAGTTCACAAATGCTGTAATCTCGCATCATAAATAAGTTCCATATATTATTTAATCTTTGGCTTTAAACGCTTCAAAAAATAATTCAGCATAGAGATATTTCGGTTCTTTCAGTCAAAAATGTTGAAATTACCATTGAAGTAGGTATTGAATTTGTTTACTGTGATTTTTTTCCTGACGAAATTATTGAAAAGCTGAAAGAACTGAGGTATATACTAATAAAATATGGAAAGGAATGCAAAATAATGAATCAAATAAATTCAGAAAATCTGATTCCCAACGACGTAGGTAACAAAAAGTGATGGATTATTAATGATTCTGACTAAATTTTGACATTTTGCATTGTATAGAATCGAACCGTATTGATACGCGTACTGGGTTTTTCAGGTTTTGTCTTTGAGGTTCCCCAGAAATAATTGGGTTTTCATCATACAATTACCTTTTTTTATTAAAGTTTCTCACATTTTCTGTTAAATAATAGAGAAGAAGACAATCAAAAAGAGAGGTTACTCTCATAAAGTTATTTCCTCTCCCATTAGCTCCCACCGTATGTTTAATCATACGTTCATTTGAGGTTAGGTTTCTGTCAACAAAGCTAATTTGACTGTGTTGTAAATTATCGTATTCATTCATCAAGAACATATTTGTAGGCTGAAAGTGTTGAATGTGACTTTGTGGAAATATTTTGTATCCACAGCAAGTTTCATCTGAAGTGATATATTTGTTTCAACAGAAAATGAGTAGAAGGTGAGTTCAGATACCATAAAGAACCTTTGTTGTTTGTTACCTCCTGGCATATTTCACTATAACAGTTTATTTTTGCTCTATACATCATATGATGTTTGTATGTAAAGGTTTCGTTGGAGAAAATATGCTTTAGATTCTCGGTATGATATATCATACGATGGGAATATGGATGTATTATATGATTTTTTTCTATAGATCATTCTTGTGATCTATTCTTTCAAAATAATATTTTGACTTTCAGGTCGAAACAGTTCTTCGACCCATCCGATCCGTTGGATGCTGAACAGCTCCTCAATTATTTGGAAGAACTTGACTCTGATGTTGATGATGAGTATCAAACTATTCAGGATTCAGAGTGCTTAGATATAGTACTTTTTCCTCCAAAAGACCAACACGATAGTGATCAGGACGACGCCCCAAGCGATGAAGAAGGTCTACCTACTATTCGTAATATTGGCAAGGGTATCTTGAAGCAAAGTATAGAAGTTCATTCAATTTCCAAAAATAGTGAGAGAACTATTATTCAATTTGACGTCAGATATAATCTCATACTGTCTGATGAGAGCAACAGCGATAGTGAAACTTTGGCGTCCATACAGAAAAGGCTAAAACTCGAGCAGCGAAAAAGGTGTAATAAAAAAGTTAAACCTAAACGTAATTGGGAGCATGTGACTTTATACCATAGTCCTGATAAGCTTGGGAATCTGAAATATGAAACTCCACGTTTTGCAGAAAAATGCGCCAAGTGGACACCAGCCGAATACTTCAAGTATTTCTTCGACGATACATTCATGTATTTCATCTGCCAAGAATCAAATAGATACGCATTGAAAAAGGGTTTTCATAATTTTTCCGCAACTGTGGAGGAATTGTATCAATATTTCGCAATCGTTATTTTTTCTCGTTACGTTACAGTTGCATCCAGACGAATGTATTGGGAAACAAAGGCAGACACTTTCAACCCACTTGTCAGCAACACGATGTCAAGAAACAAATTTGAAAGCATCCATAGGTTTTTGCACTTTTGTAATAACGATACCATGGATAAAAACGATAAAGTTGCAAAAATGAGACCACTTATTGACCATTTGAATCGAATTTTTACTGAATGCATTCAGCCACTAGAAACACATTTTTCATTGGATGAAGCAATGGAGCCGTATTACCGGAGACACAGCGTGAAACAGTTCATACGCGGTAAACCGATTCGTTTTGGTTTCAATTTTTGGTGTCTGACCACTTCAGATCTCATCAAATTTGAACCGTATTTGGGTTCTGGTGATAAACTGGAAGAAAAAACGTTAGGAAGCAGTGTTACTGAGAAAATGTGTCTAACTTCATACCCAGGAAAAACATCGTTTTCATTGACAACTACTTCAATTCTCTTCCTTTAGTTGAAACGCTAAGTAAACATGAACTGTATGGTGTTGGAACAATACGATCCGACAGAGTGGAAAAAGCTCTCCTGAAAGAATTGGAAGAGGAAAAACGTGGATCCCATTTCACTTTGTACGACAAGAAAGCTAATATAACACTTACACGTTGGCATGACAACAGTCAAGTAAACGTGGCAACCAACCTGAATGATGAAAGCATTTCGAAAACAAAAAGTTCGTGCACGCGTTGGTCCAAAAAAGAAAGATCAAAGATTGCGGTCAAGAAACCATCAATTATAAATTTTTACAATAAGGGAATGGGAGGAGTAGACCGATTTGATCAAATGCGTGGCCTCTACAGGTCTGAAATAAGGTCTAAAAAATGGTACTGACCCTTTTTACACGATTTATATTAGCTTCACCTGTATGTATGTATGTATGATTGTTTGTATGCATGTTTGTGTGTAACTCTCAAGATCGGGATCTGTATTGAATTATCGGCATTTTGCTTGATCTATTCGCGGGCAGATGGCGCTGTTCGTAACCTAATTGATATTTTTTGATCTATTCGCAGGCAGATGGCGGTGTACGTAACTATCAATTATTGCAGATTTTGTTTGAATGGTGCAGTAGTAAACATGTGGTATTTGTATCGAAGATGTTCGACGAACGGGGCGATGCCACTGTTAGACTTCATAAGAAGAATTGTTCTATCCATACTATCTTCCCCACCGACACGACCTTCCACAGGACCCAAACCAAAAATATTGTCAAAGATTCCTGACGAAATTCGATTGGATGGCAAAAATCACTTGATCGACATAAACGAAACTCAAAGGCGATGCGCAAAATGTGGAAAATGTTGTAAATTTGTGTGTCTGAAATGCAATGTCGGGCTTCACCCAGATTCCTGCTTCCGTTCATACCATGAGAAATAACTTTCCGCACGTACTCTCATACGTTTCAATAAATGTTTTTTCCATTATTAATTGATTTTGCATACCTTCGATTCCCACCGTATGACATATCATACATCAAAAAAATTACACTTATATCTGTCAAATGAAGAAATGACAATATTCAATTATATCAAAACAAAGGTGAAAGAACTCTCGAACGAAATATTATCAAAATTTACAGAAAAAAATTATTGTGGGCGTTAATGAGTTAAATTAACAATAGTTAACAATGATAAAATAGTTTTCGGGTCATCTAACCAGTGGGATGGTAGCCGGTTGGGTTAGGGTGAGTATATTGTTTTACACATTCAATACTTTTTTGTGAGATTTTCACTGAACAGTTCACAAAATCACCACAATAGTTTCTTCAAGCGTGCTTATACTTGTGAACACTCACAAGAAAGCTATTGTATCGTAAAACACGTGTTTCGATTTTGTAAACTGTTTAGTAGAAATCTCACAATG